ATTTTTTTCTACAACTTTTGACGAAGACGCGGTAGAGCGATGACAGCACCTGGAAGGTGTTCACTGTTCAGCTCAACAACACGGATCCATTCATATGCAGCAGGAGGTCCTTTTTCGATCGATCGATCGAGGACATAACGGTGACCTGAGGTCGTTTTAACGTTAATTCTGATTGGTCAAATTTTAACTCATGTGACGCGTCTCAAAGAGATAAACACGGTGGTGATAATGGTATTTACATATGTTGTCTTATCACTGATAAGACAACATATGTAAATACCATACAAATTCACGAAATCTAAAGTTATTGCAAAGCAAATGTTTCGGCAGAATCTGTCCAGTTAGCTGTTTGCCTTCTACGGGCAAAACATAGACCTGAGATGAAATTTGACGCGAAGCTAGCGAAAGAGCGTTGAAAGAGCTATCGAATATGTTTTCTGCTTCACTGTAGCACTTCTATTGGTGGGTTCCCAGTCGCTAACGTATAACGTATACTAAAGTACCGCTGAGGTATGCTTTCGACCCCTGATCGATCTAGAGGTTTGCGGAAAAAAGAGCATGCTACCCGTGACGAGAGAAAGCCGATGATACCCATTTACAAGGTTTCGGATCATCTCAGGACTCAGGTCATCGCCAATAAGTAAGGAAACTCGGGACCTGCTAGAACTCTGCGAATGTAAGTTGTGATGGTTTTTCGAGGTTCTGATTACGAATGTTATCTTAGTTTTGAACGAAGATGATGACTCCATGCATTTCGGGTAGATCAGGTCAGGTCAGATCGACCAGTCATAGTGGATGACCACCACTGATTGCTTCCTAACATGTTATACATATGTATAAGCAACACAACTACTTCTTAAATGTTCAGATGGGCGCTAAATTCAAAATCAGCTCCAAAACTATCCTACATATGCCTAAATTAAAAGCATGTTATGAAAAAGTGAACCAAGGTCATCTTTATTTGAATCAGGGATATCGATTTATTTTTATGTAGGTGATTAACTCGAGCGCACCGGAAGTTTCGTTGCAATCGGCTCCTTTTTGCGCGACTTCTTTGCGAAAGCCCGAGACGGTTTCATCTGACTCCCTTTCCCCTACAATCTACATTTGCACTGTACAGCTAGTTGTGACGGTAACCATGGGGCTGAGGCTAGTTTGTAGTTTTGTAGTTAGGTACTGATCCGACGAATCGACTGCGACCATTTTTTTTTTTTTAACGATCAGACGAAAGCTCGGGGCAGTTTTGGCGCGTCCAATCTTTTGAGGGATAAAAAGGTACTAGAATGGTGGCTACTTAAAAATATTGTTGTGCTGGTGTTCCCCGCCCACAGCTAATTGAACTTTAGGTAATTGGCTAATTGGCTTTAGGGAGCTCTTGAAGCGATTCTGAATCTGATGTATTTGTTGGTGTTGCTGACGCCTGCTTCACTGACATAAAAGCTAAAAAAGCATACTCAGCATCGCAAAAAGTGGGGGGGGGGTCGACACCCCCAGTTTTCAAGAGTGGGGGGGTCACGACCCCCCCGACCCCCCCCCCCCGTCGACGACGCCCCTGGCAGGCACCATAGTGAGTCGCCGGGGCTGAGCCCGTCCATAGGACAGGCCACCCAGCCCCAAGGCACTCACTGCACCCGGCTACGGGGTGCGCTACCTCGGGAGCAGCGGTGCCGCTCCAAGGGAGCAGCCCGCATGAGGTAAAGTTGCCTGTCCAGCCCGGAGGGGGGTTGCGGCGTGGAGGAGAAGGATTTCCGTATCCTGAGGATAGAAGCATGGAACGGTTGAGGTGACGGCTGCCGTCTCCCAAATGTCAGTCCCCGCTCTCTGGTGCGTGTAGCGCCGCAGGTTGAGGACCTGAGGTCAGTGCGGGTATCTGCGTCGCCGTCCTCAAAGAACCGGAAGGTTTGCTAATTATCTCCGATGCTCGCCGAGCCGATCTGACTGACAGAAACGATTACTGTACTTATGCTTCCGAAAACGGATCCTGCGGTAGTCAGCCATCTAAAATTCGAAATAGCAAAATAAAACAAAATCTAATGTTAGCGGCGGAATATATAATCGCCGTAGCCCAGTCAGGTGCTGGCCACTTCAGTAATGCCCTCTGCTGGTAGCTCGGCAAAACCGTCATATGTAGATGTCGCCACCAGTCGTGTTCTCTGCTGGCTCACGGCGGTTGCGTCACTCAACGGGTGCCGAGATGCGTATTATTGAGCATCTGCCGAGCATCAAATCTATCGAACACCGGAAAGCCGACCAGACAGGAGGGCCACGTATGCTTCACACTTCACAGACGCTCATATCAGTAGGGAAGGACAGGCATATCAGCAGATGCGCTGGCTACCTACCTATGAACTCGGATAACGCACAAGTGCGAATTTCTGATGAGATAATACAACAGGTCGTGACTAAATGATGCGATTTCTAAGATAGTCAGTGCAGTGCACCGGTCGCCGATATCAGGAGCAAGCATCCATTTGCTCGGCGCGAGATATCACTTAGGGTGGGTGAAAGCGATTGCATAAAATCAAGACGACTGACGGCTGCTGACCAGACATGCCACGGGGCCGAGATCCATTATCACCAATTATTTTAAACACAATTAGGTACTCAATAATTATGAATGCGACGACATCGGGATGAGTGTCACAAGTATTATAGAGTTCAGTGGTCACAAGTTACCAACGATCACTACTAACAAAATAACGAACATCTGTTTTGAAATGACAATAGTTTACTTCGTTATTGATGTTTTAGCAGCCATGACTTAGCTATGCACTTTAGCGGATACCTTGTTCAATAACGCAAACTCGAACAGCTGATACAGCCCATGCAATACTGAAGGGTGCGGCACTAACAAACGACCCTGCTGACACCTAGCGGTGAAAGTGGCAACTGTACTTCTGCAGGTATTCAGTATAAACGCTACTTCTCCATGAGCGGGAACTAACGATGCTGGATGGAACAGAACAAAGGATTTGTGAAAAGGGTGTTTTCATTTTCCACACAGTTTGATGGATGGAAGATTAGCTTCATTCGCATAGGTGTATGAATTGATGAAATCTCAGATAAATGAAAAGAGAAATGACAGAACTATGTAACTTTTGGTTCATTCCAGTGGCATTCTTATTACCAACCGTTTATCCGTAACCTATTCGACCGTCAGTTTAGCAATTTAGGTACCCATTTGATTTATTTGAGGATTCGGTTGATTCATATATGATAGTATCCACCACATGCATCCTCAGCGTTTGTAATTAATCTGATGTAGGTATTATTCAATTTGAAATTTCGCTGGGTACGGAAGGTAAAACAATGATCGCCGTACCTACTTCCTGATTTCAAGCGTAAGCCTTGGCCTTTCAAAATCATACAAACGTTGTTTAGTCCTGACTGTTAATTGTAATGTGCAGTGAATTTATCTTGGATGCTACTTCAACTCTGAACTCTATAAAATGGTTTATAGTGCCTGTTAGCTAATGGAAAGCTACAGCCATACACACCAACTTTTAGTGTCTCTCTTTCGTTTCACTCTTTTAATTATTTCTGGAAGTGATGCATGGAGAGTTTTACTATAAACATAGAAGTGACGAACAGAGATGAGCAGAGGCGAACTGGTCCGGGCCATGCAGCGTCGCGGACGCCGGGTGGCCCGGGGCGGCCAGACTGTGAGTTGGAAACCTGCCGAGAGATGGCGTGGCAGTGCAGTCGGCCCGCGCCGGCCGCCCGACGCCGACATGTGCTGCCGCGCTCCGGGCCTGCTCCGGCCGGCCGGCGCCGACTACCGTCGGTACCGGTACCGCATATTTACGTCTGGACAACGAGTTGCGTTGGAGAGGCCGGAAATAGTGGCGATTTCAGGACCGCAAGATTGGACCGTCATTGGGATGATTCTGTTTCTGATTCTGATTCTGATTCTGTTTCGTGCACTGTTTTCGGCCGGAATTTAATAGTTACTACAAAATATTTTGTAATTACGTTTCCACCAAGAATGAATGCCACCAGGGCTAAGTTTTAACTACTTTTGCATTTTGTCCAGAAGCATATAGTGCTGTTATATTGCAGTTTTAGCGCGTTTGTTACAAAATATGAAGCGAATAAGCGTCAGTGTAATTCATCAGCATTCGTGTCAGGCCCATGTCGTCCCCTATCTCTCTGCGTGTCCACTAACACGAATGACGTCACGCATGTGGGCGGAGCTATGGGCGGAGCCTAACGCACGCGGCAGTCCAAGCCGCCATATTTGAATTTATATTTTAATAGAATCTTGCCGATATTTTGGGTGAAGTCAATTTATATGGATAGCTTGGTGACAGTTTAGCTATACGAATAATAATTTATTATGGATGTGCGTATGTTCAGCTTGGAATTGCAATTAAAGTTCCACACCGCATAGATTCGAACTCGGGACCTTTGGAATACTGCGCGGGCACGCTAACCACTACACTACCACGACCGCGCGGCGGCCGGCGGCAGGGAGGCTGCGGAGACATGGGGGGACATTTTACGCTTTTATGAAAAAAGCAAAAGATTTAGCGAAAAACACGTAATAGGTAACTTGCAGAAAATTGTCTGCTCTTTCAGATAAGATACTTAAGTTTGATATATCTTGTGCAGACTTCATTCTACAGTGCTTCGAAAATCGCTCATTTACATGAGGATTGAACGGGGCTTCGAGACTTGACTCCAAATGACGTCACGAGCTGACGTCACGAAAAGGTAGAATCGCCGGACGACCCTACCTGAGGGCTGTTCACGGACCCTGTGTGCGATCGGACCGCACACAGCCTCCAAGCTCCGCCCACTGCGTCCCTACGTCAGCCTTGCGTCACCGCACACAGCGACCGCTGTGGCCGGTCGGGACTGGCCACAGCGGACCGTCCACCGCACGCAGCCGTGACGTCAGAGCCGCCTACCCATCCCCTACCCCCACGCCTGCTGGACGTACCGCACACACCGCACGCAGCAGTGTGCGGTGCCCGTGAACACCGGTATATGGGGCCTTGATTCGTGTGCGAGACGTCGGCGGAGGAGGAGCTCGAGTTTAGCTGCGATCTCTCGCGCGTTACTGAGGGTGTTGGAGTTTGGGTTCATTGGTTTCTATTTTCTGTTTTGTTTGCAAGGCAAGTTCTTTCTTTGAAGTAAGAGGTGATGCAGTGATGGATCGGAGGCGGCCCGTAAAGCGGGTGCGACCTGACGAGTTTTTCTTTGACGGAGGAGAGTCCAACAACACAGGGTCTTTCTTGAAGGTAAAGTTGTTATCTGATGTTTCATTTAAATCAAAGGGATGGCCTTGGGTTCAGCTCGGAATCAGAGGGATACTGGGACCTGATGATAGGTTGGCTAAAGCTAGCCTCTTGGCTGATGGTGGGCTGCTGATGAGGACAAAAAATGAGTCTCAGACTTCCAAGCTTCTGAAAGTTCAAATGTTTGCAGGTGAGGAGTGTCAGGTGATCAGGGATGAACGGCTCAACACCTCCCGGGGTATCGTGCGGGCCCACGACCTGATGGAACTGTCTGAGGAGGAAGTAGCTGGGTGGTTGAAAGAGTTTGGTGTCACAAAGGTCAAAAGGTTCACAAGGAAGGTCAATGGGCGCACTGAAAGGACAGCAACACTCCTTCTAACTTTTGATACCCCCACCTGCCCTTCTAGGATTTCTTTGGACTATGTCACTTACAAAGTTGACCAGTACATCCCAAATCCAATGATGTGTTACAAATGTGGTAAATTTGGCCATTCTGAAACGACATGCAAGGATGATCGTGTGTGTCTTGTCTGTGGGGAACCGAGTCATGAGGGAGAGTGCACTCCAAAGTGCATCAACTGTGGCAAGAGTGGCCACTCCTGTCAGGATAGGAGGTGTGAGATATGGGTCAAAGAGAGGGCAATATGTAGAATGAAAGTAGAACAAGACATTTCCTTTGGGGAGGCGAGGAAAAAATTTGAGGAACAAGCACAGAAACAGAGTCCAAAATCATATTCTGAGGTCCTTAAGGTACCACAGAGCTCATCCCCACAGGAGGAGGAACTGAAAACCAGGGTGGGTAAGCTTGAAGATGCAGTGACAGAGCTGGTGGGTTTGCTCAAGCAGGTTGTGGGCAAACAATTGGATCCCAAAGGCACAGACAAGGAGACAGAGCCTGCCTGCATCACTGACAGCGGTGCACAGGGTGTAGAGAGTAGTGGTGAGATTTCATGCATAGAGACAGAGAGTGATTCTATGGAGGTTCAAAAACATGGTGATGTCGACTCAGATGAAAGACCAGTGACTGGCTTTGACAAGGAGATTGGGAAGTGGCAAACTGTGAGGAAGGGCAAGGGAAAGAAGGGAGGCAACATGCCTGTCCTTCCAGCACTGACTGGGGATGACGAGATTTCGCCGTCCCCCGAGCTGACTCGATTCACTCGAGCCCCAGGGCGAGGTGAACGTGGTCGGCTCAAACCAATGCAGCGGGCCCACAGTGCTTCGCGACTTCCTTCGTCCAAACAGTGTTGGCAAAACAATTCCCATCCCCCCAACTCTTAGACAATACCCAGCAAAAGCATCATTTCTGTGTTTGTGGTTTTTTCTGGCAAATATCGAACAATTATTTCCAGTGATTACAGTTGCCTGCGTTTGTCGCAGGTTTTAGTCGGTACCCAGATTATGTATTATTTATTTCCTTATCCTGATTTGCATCTGGTGTCTGGTTTCAGTATCTCATGTGTTATATTTGATTTTGTGGTGGTCGTCGTCAGTCTGCCAGGCGATCCTTTTTTGGGTCGGTTTGGCGGCGGGGCTGATGAAACGGGCGTGTTCTGTCGGAGCCGGGATGGTTCGACCGGCGCCCGGGGCAGTGGGGCAGGTCACGTGACCCGATGTTATCGCGAGGTCGGCGGGCCGGCCCCGGGGCTAGGCGTGGGCCCGGTCCTGGGGCGCGGCGTGAGCCCGACCTCAGAGCCGAGAACGAGCGCAAAGGTGACCTTGACCGTGCTGGGTACTTTTCCGTCGAATAGTTAGTTAGAAACAGCGTTATGGTTAATAGTGTGAGGAGTTTTACCATCATGCAATGGAATGCTCGTGGAATGATTGGAAAATGGCCGGAGATTAAACCTGTGCTACTGGAAAAAGGCAAAGATGTGATTTGCATCCAAGAGTCACATTTTCTCCCTAATGATCCTTATGACTTCCGCCTTAATAATTACACTCTTTATAACGCATTTCCCAATACGGACAGGAGACAGGGAGGAGTCAGTATTTATGTTAATAATAAACATCCCCATTGTCAGATAAATCTGAATACTTGTCTACAAGCTGTTGCAATATCGGTCCCAACTGGCAGATGTCGGCTGTGTATTTGTTCGTTGTACCTTCCGCCGAACGAGCGTCTTTCGCAGCAGGTTCTCAGTGGTCTGGTGAGCCAGCTGCCACAACCTTTTATTATATGTACAGACGCTAACAGCCGACATTACATGTGGGGCGCAGATCGTTGTGACCAGAGAGGAGTCATATGGGAACGAGTTATTCGTCAACACGCACTGAATATTCTTAACGATGGCAGCCCGACACGGCTCGATGAATACTCTGGACTATGGTCCCATATTGATTTAACATTGAGCACGGGTAATATAGGTCAGTACTTGCAATGGTGTACCGACTCTGATCTATATTCCAGTGATCATTGCCCAATATACATAACATTTGATCTGCCTGGAACTGACACCTGTCGGAACACAGATTTCACGGGATGGAATACTAATAAGGCCAACTGGTCTGAATTTACTGAGAAGTGCGACTTACGATTTTGTGAAGGAATAGGAATGGAAAACTGCACAGCTATGACCGAAGCCTTACTGAGGGCTGCGGAGGATAGCGTACCTATGAAACGGAACAACTCAAAGTACACTTGTCCATGGTGGACTGAGGAATGTAAAGAGGCGATTCGTAGTCGGCGACGAGCACTCAACCGGTTTCGTCGTAGCCACCAAACTTTACACCTCATGGAATATAAAGCTGCTAAAGCAAGAGCAAGGCGAATTATTAGACAGGCAAAACGGGACTCTTGGGAGAAACTGCTACATATGTTCAAACATACCACCCCTATGCGACAACTATGGGACATAATACGGCGTTTTACAAAGAAGGAGCGCTACCAGCGGCCATTGCCCGTATTATGCATCAATGGCAATATGACAGACGATCCCAAAGAAGTCGCTGACGTGCTCGGGAATTTCTTCTCGGGGATGTCGGCGTCCATTAATTATAGAGCTGCCTTTAGGGAAAGAGAGAGTGTTTTGCTCGAACAGCTTCCATCGTTTGCGAGCGACAACGACGAGTGCTACAATGACATGTTTACTATTGATGAATTGAGATGGTCAGTTTCCCATTGTGGAAATACCTCTGTTGGGCCTGATAAGATTCACTACATGTTTTTTAAGCAACTTAATGATGAGCAATTGACACAGATCCTAAAGCTGATTAATTACATTTGGCTTTCAGAGCGTCTTCCCGACACTTGGAAACATTCCATTATGGTGCCGATCCTTAAACCCGGGAAGCCAAGTCACCAACCCGAATCTTACCGACCTATACAGCTTACATCATGCTTCAGTAAGGTCATGGAACGAATGGTTACCAGACGGCTGGCGTGGTTTATTGAAAACGGAGGAATGCTTTCAGCCATTCAATGCGGATTTCGGAAGGGACGGAGCACAGCTGATCATTTACTACGACTGGAGTCCAATGTTAGACAGGGCTTCTTTTACAACCGGTATACTTTAGCTGTATTCTTGGATTTTAAGAATGCGTATAATCTTATTTCGACGGCGGCCCTGCTGACCAAGATGCACGCACTTGGTTTCAGAGGGCGAATGATGCACTTCATTCGATCCTACCTTGATAACCGAACCTTTCAAGTCAGAAATGGCTGCCTCTCCGATACATTTGAACAGGACAATGGCTTGGTACAGGGTGGTGTAATTTCTCCGGTGTTGTTTAACATCATGATAAACGACATATTTGATGGAGTCCCCGGAAACCCAACATGTGCGCTGTACGCTGACGATTGTACCATGTGGGTGCAAGGAAGGAGAATTGCACAATTAGTTGACCGAATGCAGTTAGCTCTCGACCATGTTAGTTCATGGGCTGACAGATGGGGCTTTGTTTTTTCACCGCACAAATGCAATGCCATTATATTCAGACGATATATGAAAGCAAGGGAATTAGCCACTGTGCCCCGATTGAGACTTTACAACGAGCACTTGAGCTACTCCGAGGAGGTCAAGTTTCTCGGGGTTTTGCTCGACACGAGACTGAATTTGAGCAAACATATTAAATATGTGAAGGGAAAGGCAACTAAACGTATATCAATCCTAAGATGTTTGGCCGGAGGGAACTGTGGAGCGGATAGAACGATACTTTTGCGAATTTACAAATCAATGATACGGCCAATACTTGATTATGCATGCCAGATACTGGATGGTCCACGAAACAAAACAGTTGAGTCGCTTGATAGCATCCAGAATGCATGCGTGAGGATTGCTACGGGCGCGCTTAGAACCTCCCCCATACTACCTCTGATGGTGGAAGCAGACGTACCCCCTCTGAGATTAAGACGGTGCGATTTGACCTTACGGTACTGCTTGAGAGTGAAGAGTGACCCCAACCATCCATGTCTTGAATTGATATCACGCGGTGCATCGCTGCCTGCCATTGATAGTGATTATTTGAAGCGAATCGCAGGCTTCCCTGTGTATGAGAGGCTCTCGGCTATATGCGCTGAGACAAACTTTGATATGCCGAACGAATTGACGTCCTTATCTGGTACCATCCCGCCTTGGCACTTGCAGAAATGTGATCTGATTCGACTAACAAATGAGAGAAAAGCAAACTTATCTGATATTGAAGTGCAATGTCAGTTTAATGACCTCAGAGAGAGATATGCAACGTTCTCTTTCTGCTTTACTGATGGATCAAAGAACCATGATGGTGTTGGATGTGCGTATGTACTTGGAAACCGACGTGAAAGGTTTAAGCTGCCAAATAACTGCTCTGTATTTACGGCGGAAGCATTCGCTATACTACGGGCACTGTTATTTGTGGAGGAAAGTGGTATCATGAGATGTGTCATTTGCACGGACTCCCTGTCCGTGCTGACTGCTCTTCGTGGGCCGGTCACTTCCCATCCTACTATCATGAAGATTTTAGAGACCTGTCATCGATTGATTACTTTGTCTGATCGCGAACTTGTTATTTTGTGGATCCCTGGACACTGCAGCATCACTGGGAACGAGCTAGCTGACCGTCAGGCCAGGGAGGCTATCTCGCTGGATCAAATAGTAGTCCTTGAAATGGGTCCCAAAGAGCACTATCCCGATATTGGGTTGTCTGTCCGTCGCCTGTTCAATCAGTGCTGGCAGCAGTATAACTCAAACACCAACTTGAAGTTGATAAAGGATGAAGTTGGATCATGGTCATCTTGTAAACGCGCCAGTCGCAGGGAGGAAATCTTGTTATGTCGCATGCGAATAGGACATACACGATTCACTCACGGACATATAATAGATAGAGACCCCAGGCCTGAATGTAACCGATGTTTGTGTCCCCAGTCAGTTAAACATATACTTGTGGAGTGCCCAGTGTATGCTACTCACCGACAATCGATTGTTCAGAAGTGCCTTCAATTGGATGTACCACTTACCCTGAAAACTCTTCTGGGTGATCAACACCCGGACATCACTGACGAGGTTTTCAGGTTCCTACGTGCTACCAATCTCTTCAAAAAGCTGTGACTGCGATGATCTGCGATGAACTAGCTGTGATTATTTGTGTTTGAAGCTATCATGTGCAATTATTGGATTATGTTAGTCTACCTGCCGATTGGCGAACCCCGTCGCGACTGATGCGGAGGGCATGGCCGTCGATCTGGCACTTTGATGCGATCTCCTGCTTTTGTAATTTGTGTTGATTGTTTACTTTATCGTCTCTCTGGTGTTTTGTGTTATGTGCTGCGACTGCTCTGTGGACGTCCTCATGTGTGTAACAGTCGTGCATTGTGTGGAAATGATTGGATGAATGGAGATTGAATGTTGAATGAGAAGGATGCGGGAGTGGAGATGCATCGGTGTGAGAGATGGATGCAGTTAGTGGATGAATGAAGAGCAGCCTGTACTGGTTTGCTACTGTAGTTTCTTTTTCTATATTTCTCTTGGATGTATACCTCCGTTAATCTTTTTTGTACCATCTGGTCCCTTCTTTTGTAGAAGTAGTCGCATAGTTCCGAAGTTGAGGCTCGTTATGATCGGTATGATCATGAGACATGAACCCTCCAACGCAAGTTGATAACTGAGTGAGGTACCAAGAGCAGACTCGTGCCTGAAGATCCTTTTGAACTGAATGGCTCGCTGGACAGATGCGAGGTCAAGAGCGTTATGATTGAATGACTCATAACCAGAAACCATCCTTTTTGTTTCTATTTTTAAGTTTTTAATCAGTTATATGTTAGAAACTAACCGTTACTAATATACTTCACCGGACATTTCCTGCCTGGACATATCCGAAGCCCGCGCATACATCCCCATGCCATCCCATGCTAAACCTATCATTTTCCTTCATCTGCTTAGTTTCCCTCTGCACCATCTGGCTGCAACCGATTGCAACATCTACTCGATCGAGACAAGAATGGCGCACTGATGACAACAACTACGGACGCTTGAGCCCAACGAGGCTATGCGCCCTAACCCAACAAGTACAAGTAAGTGTAATTCATCAGTGGCAGAAGTTACTTGAGGGAAGCTATGCTAATTGCTCATAGGGCCTTGTAATTGCTCTTTCCATCCACTAGAAGGTATTTACGGAGCGAGCGAAGCGAGCGTAGTCTTTCCTTAGATTAACGGAAATTTCTGAGTATGAGCGGCCGGCCGGCCGGCCGGCCGTGGTCACGCTTTTGCGAGGCTTATATCTCAGCAACCACTTGACCGATTTACACGCGGTAATTTTTGTAGGGTAGCTTCATTCCTTCTACCAAGTATTGGACTATTCCCGATGCATGTGGGTGACCCCTTATGCACGTGCCACGTGCAAAACGAAGTGGTGTCACTTTTGTAATTGTTGCAATATCTCGGTAACTACTTGGCCGATTGCGCTGAAAATTGGCATGTAGGTAGGCACCCACTAGGCAATGCATATCCATGTGCCAGAGTTGGGGTGCTGCTGCACGTGCGCACGTGCAGGGGTCGATTCCAGATCTCGAGAACGGCTGGACCGATGGCGCTCAAATTTGGTACATGGTTAGGGACCGGTTAGTAGGGAGCCGTGCAAAAGTCAGTTGGGACCCATTTTGCACGTGCGCACGTGCAGGGTGCCGATTCCAGATCTCGAGAACGGCTGGGCCGATTGTGCTCAAATTTGGCACATCGCTAGAGACCGGTTAGTAGGGTGTCGTGCACAACTCAGTTGGAGGTACCCCCTCGCAATTTCGCACGTGCAAGGCTCACCCTCTCGCTCGCTCCGTTAGTCGCCCCAAAAGGCGTTATACTGGTAAATATTTTGCTTTGTGTATTCCAAAAGGAGAGGGAACTACTCGTATTTTATTTGTGCCTTCAGGCTTCATGTCAGAATTGAAGGTGGATCATTAAATTTTCAAGGCAGTTTACAAACAAGCATTTGGTCTATCTCGTATATAAGCAGTAGCTAAGAAGAAAAGTTGATCAATCCTGAAGGTCAGTCATCGAGTACCTCAACTTGGCAGCAAGATCTTCAAGGACGGAGGATATATTGTATACCTGTCCTGTAAATCAAAGCATTTTTGTGCCTGCAAAGGCTTAAGTTCTTTGTGGTGTGTTCGGAGTGGTGAGGCTATATGGCCATTTTTGTTGTATGTTTATTATGTGGAGATTGAATATAACTGTGACCCTGTACTTGTTTGTATACTTACTATGGTCAAACAGGGAACAGCACATTCACATAACATACTCACCTAGCACCTAACTCTTAGCTGTACCCTGCAAGTGCAGGCAGCAGGATCTGTACTTGTTCATGGCTCGAGCATTAGCAAAGCACTAAAGTAGCTTAGTAATCATTTCCCACATTTTCTAAGCATCTAACATGACATAAAGCAGTGCAGAGCAGCTTCAGAGAAGAAACACTCTAAATGCACAGACTCACACCAGCCACCCAATGAGCCAGTTCCTCAGTTGACTGTTTCCCTGGATGCAGCTTGGCAAGGTGAGCTAACTATTGGCAAGTAGCAGGTTAGCAGGTAAGATTGAGTTAGGGTGAGTACCTACCTATAACTGGGTGCTACTGCTATGCAGGTCTTGGGTAGGCTGCAAATATGTGTGATGATTGAGGTTAGGTCAGCTGTCAAGTTATTCAGGTATGCTCATTGCTCAGGTCACATTTTTATGGACACTTGGCAAATTAAAAAACTAGCATAACCTAATCTAAGCTAACCCGACTAAACCTACACAACTGCTGACTATAGGAACTAAGCACCTACCTACTTGTGCCTACATCTCATAACATGTCAAAGTAGAGTTCCTTGGTGGAAGATTATCCTCAGTACTTTTTATCCCAGCCTTGTGAAGAAAACTAATACTTCTAAGCTCTGAGTCACTGCTGGCCATCCACAGGAAGAAACGCTGAGACTGAGAGCTTTGCCATTGTATATTGGACCAACAATCACTATCACGAATTACTATGAACACATTATATGATCACATTGTTGCATGGATTGTCACATTGACAATTTTATAACAATCCTTTTTTCAAGAAATACAGTAATGATTAACATCAAAATCAACATAAAGTGGATTTAGTGATCCAAGCTTTCTCCTCCAGTAGCAATGGAATGATCGCATGTTTCATTTGCCAGACACTGAGTACCTGATGCTGGTGATGCACATTACAATCTGCATAGCATCTAAGCATAGTAAAGCTGCCAAAGTCCATTCATTCTAGATTTTTAACTTGATAGTTAGCACTAATTTATCTTGCTGTTGCAAGTTGTCATTCAATATCCATACCAATACATCAATATGTGCTCATCAGTCAACATTTTCTGGCATGATCCTGCTCAGTGCGCTCTTCAGTATTGCTCAAAGATCTGCAATAGTATAGCTTGTTTTCAGGCCAATAAGCTCTTTTAATTTTACTTTTTCTTGCTGATATATGAGCCCGATCAACTTGCGGTTATCAACCAAAATTTCATAACTTCAAGTTCAACTTGATATTGATATTGCTCAGGAGTCAGGACCTCTCACTCTGTCAGCCTCCTGGATACTTCGGATTGTTTTCAGTCACATGCTTCTTAAATATGATATAAGTCAATCTTAAGGGATTCAAAACATCCAACAAAACGACGTACAAGAGTACGGAAACCACCAGATAAACCACGGGCGTAGGAACGTCATGAAAAGTGGGTGGGCCACCCTGTCAAGGGGCCTCCTTTTCCAGGGGGCCTCCTATTTTCAGGGGCCTCCAACTTTTGCCTCGTCCTGCTGGCTGCTTTCAAGTATGACCTCCTCCAAATCTAGCTTCTGAGATCGGGCAGATGTACGGTCCAGGGGCGTAACCGCTTAAGCGAACAGTGCGGAAAGTCATCACCATTTTAAAACTTATTCCCCCTCCGATTTTTTTTTTTTAGAATCTATTTGCCGCAAACGGCGCATGACCCCTGAAAACCCCTACAAAAATGTCTTCCTCGTTCCCAGGTGCCCCCATTAGCTTCATAGGCGCCCTCTTTGGCATATAAGCGCCCTAGTCATCAGAGACATCCCTATATGTCCCACAGTCGCCCCGTTGTCGCATACAATGTGCGCTTATCATAGGCGTCTCTCTTTAGTTTTATGGACACTTGAAGGCGCCTCTCTTTGCCATGCCGGCGCCCCTGCTTCTTATGAACGCACCCCCATGGCATTGATCAATTCCAATTTGCAGACCTCTATTGCATGTGGACGCCCATATACATATGTAGGCCTCAGACTTCAGGGGCGCCCCTCTTTCGCATGGATTGAGGCGCCCCTATGGGCTTCATAGGCGCCCCTCTATTGCACGTAGGTGCCCTACTGTCTCAGAACCGCTCCCCTTGGGCATGCAGACGCCCATCTTTCGTACGGAGGAGCTGCTGTGGTTCTTAGAGACGGCATGGTGCTCCCAGACGCAGATGGGGCTCTCGGAGAAGACAGTGTGGGACCTTCAGTCGCTGATGGGTGCCCACCAGATGTGGACCCTCGGAGACGCCGGTATGGGGCCCTCTGAGATGCCGGTATGTGGCCCTTAGAGACACCGGTGTGGAACCCTCAGATACTTCCGTGTGAAGCCCTTACAATTGCTGGTGTGGAGCTATGAATGCGCTGGCTTAAATCCCTCAGAGGCCGGTACCGGGTATAGTCTCTCTTGAAAGTATCGCGTCCTGGGCTGCGGCGGCTCAGCGAACTATTCCATTCAGTTTGAGGACCCCAGTAGGGAGGTCATGGCCTGTATCATAAAAAGTACGCTGTAACACGATTTCACGCCAGCGGTAGAAGGAAAACTGCTATATGACGCAGGCCCCAGCGGCTGACAACTGGGTCAAAACAGGCGGAGGCCGGCCAAAGGTCATGCTCGTATCGCTCTCCCTTGACCCCGTCCACCGCCCCAGGCGGATACCGGTGCCTCTTGGGCTCACCAGCCGGGCGCTCATTGGTGTGCCTTAGTGGGCGCCAATCACTCAGTGTGCGTGACGCGTAAAATCACAACGAAGCGAAGTTCCGCCATAACCCTTACTGTGATGAGGCCTTCTGAATGACGTAAACAGGTCATGCAGGGTGTGGGGGGGGGGAGCCTGGCATCAAATAAGTTTTTAAAAAGAACATGGCTGAACAGCATTATTTTTTTATTTTTTGTCGCCGTTCACTAACCGGCTCATTAAAAAGAGAGAACTTTAAATATAAGACTAAATGGCTAGACAGCGAATTGGCGAACTGGCTAGAGAGATAATTCTTGTTTTTGAATCCGCTTACGAGTGCATGTGCAAGCACGGATGCATTCTGTTAGCGGGTGCAACTGATGATTTTTAGGTATATGGGCACGAGTTTCCGGATTTTACCCCCCCCCCCCCCAAAAAAAAAACAACAACAAATAATGTGACAGTCGTGCCGATGACGAGTCAAATTGCTAACTTTGCAATGAAACAAATCTCAACAAATCCTCTGCGAGTAGGGTGGCCTCCGTTGACCACATGCTTAGCTGCCATCACAAGTTACCGGATGGCGACTGCCACCTCCCCCTATCCCTCCGCAGTCCGCAACCACTCCCCTCGGCCCGCTGCGCCGGCTGCCTCCGCGTGTCAGGCTTCGGCCAGTGCTACCAGCGGCTCTCAAACCTTTCCGCTCAACCGCGGCTGGGACAGGTGGCGCCTTCTCTCGGAGTCGCGATACTTTCAAGAGAGACTATACATGGACACATATTTGATCAGGATCGGACGATTGGACACTTTTAAAAGGAGATCTTCCGTGCCTCCCGGATATTCACGGGAGAGCACATGTGGGGTTTAAAAAAAAAGGTGTCGATATAGGGCCCTAAGAGACACTAGTATGACCCTCGAAGGCGCCGCTGTGTGGCGCTCATAAACACTGGTGTGGAGCCATCACAGGCGGGTGGAGCCGTTAGAGGCCGGAAAGGGCCCTTAGATGCCTACAAGGAGCCTTCAGAAGCCGGCGTGGCACCCTTATGGGGATAAGCGTGTCTACTTAGGAGCCCTTGAGGTGCTCTCA